ATCAGGGGGTGCAGGAGAGGCGGCAGGAACTGGAGACAGCAGGGGTCAGTCACCTTCCTTCTGCTCTGTAGTCAGTTCTGTCTGGTACTCTTTTCGTTGGCATTTGCCTTGAATACAGTTCGGTGCACTTATTCTATTTATTTTTATTTTATTTGGCCGTCGCGTAGATAGTCTATGAGTAGATTTAGAATTCAGATCAACATTCTGTTATTTAATGAGAGTTAGTCCATTAATACCTGTTGTGATTATTAATATTTTGCATTGGAATTTATCTTATTTTGTGTTGTCATTTTACCATCTTCTTTTGTGGTTCGTCGTTTTTCTGGCAAATATTTTAAAATTGGAAAATAGAATACATGCGCCAAAGAAAGTATGACTTTACACATACACACAAACGCAATTAAAAGGACGACAGTAAAGCGAGTACACAACTCAGGACCAGAAGGAGGTTATTAAACCTCAGAAAACTCTGTGCTCCTTCTAAAATGTATTTTCCTATCCCCCACCCCCCGGGATTTTCTCTTATTGTTTTAATATGTTTTCCCCAAAATGTATTTCCTAATTTTGGTGATTATTTGTGAATGGACTCACTCTCAGTTATTTTGGGGAACATCCTGTATTCCATGTTGATGCAAGTACACATTTGTAATTTAGAGATTTCTAAATGTAATTTAGAGATTTCTAAATTTTTAGAGAATGTACACGTAGCCGTTCTTTTTCAGGAATGTCATGGCTTAAATATTTCAGAGTCAGCTTACCAAGTTCCACATACAGGGAGTTTGTTTTCAAGTTGCGTTGAGTCTGTATATGAATTTTGAGAATACTGGCATTTTTATGCCATCGAGTCTTACAGTTAATCGAATTAATCTTTTATTTGCATCTTCTGTAATGCCTTTCAGTAAAGTTCTATAAGTATTTGCAAAAGGATTTAAGTTTTATTCATTATGTTTATTTCTAAGAACTTTGGTTTTTGGTGCTCATAAATTAAATTTTTTTCTAACTGCTTTGTTTATTGACAAAGTTCTGCCAGTTTACTAAAGTATGTAATTCTCTTGTCATTTTTTGAAAGTTCTTCATAAAGTTTTATCATTTGTATAAAATAAATAAGTAAATATTTATATTTTCCTTTTGAATCGTATGCATTTTCTGTTATTTTGTTTCTTGGCTGTACTATCTGGGGACTTCCAGTATGGTTGACTGGAGTTTGGATAGCAAAGTCTAGGCAGTCCTGTTTTCTTTTTGATCTTAAAGGGAATTAACTTTCTGCTTGGAGGCTTTTCTTTCAAAGATAGTTTTTATTAGGCCAAGGGAGTTCCCATCTTTTCTTAGTTTATGAGTTATTCTTCTCAGTTGCTGTAGTTATTTAACAAGTGATTTTTTTTTTCACCATCTACTTTTATGTTTATTGGTGTAATCCAAGAACCTTAAATGATGTCTGGCCTATGATAGGCACTCAGTACTGCTTGTTTATTGAGTAAATCATATGATTTTCTTTTTTATCCCATAGCATGGTGAATTAAAATAATGATTTTCTAATCTTACATTGAATTTGTATTGGTAAATTACTTCATTTGGAAAGGACACGTGCTATTTTGTCATTTTTGGCTTCAGTTGGTGTTTTTGGATCTGTCTTTGAGTGAAATTTTCCTCTTCTGTTTCAGGTTTATGCCAGCCTCATAAAATGGGGTAGGAAGTATTTCGTCTTTTTTCTAAACTCTGGAATATTTTGTGTAAGGATACAATAATTTGTTCTTAAAAGGGAGCGGTACCTGGAAAAACCATTTGGGTCTGGAGTTTTCTTTGTGGAAACTTTTAAATCTGTTGTTTCAGTTCCTTTAAGGATCATAGTGCATCCAGCTTTTTGGATGCTGCGTTTTGGATCCAGCATTTTGTTATGGTAGGGAAAATTTCTTTAGGAATTTATTCATTCCATCTGAGGTTTAAACTGTGTTGTCATAATTGTTCATAATATGCTTATAATTTTAGTGCTTGATACATCTGTAATGTTATCTTTTTCATTCTTAATATTTACCTGTTGCTTTTTAAAAAAATAAGTCCTGTCAGAGTTTTGTAAGCTTCTTTCTCAAAGAACCGTTCTTTCTTAAAGAACTTTTGGCTTGATCAAACCACTTTATGATATGTATGTTTTCTATTTAATGACTTTCTGTTCTTTATCATTTTCTCCCTTCTGCTTTTTTGGGATGTTTCTTTTCAGTTTCTTATCTTGGGTCCTTGTCACATCGCAAAGAATTGCAGTATAGTATTATTATATTTTGGTTCTAAGTATTATCAAATATCATGGCTTCTTTGACGTGAATTATTTAGAATTTTTTTGTTTTAATTTCCATTTCTGTGACATTTTTCTGTTTCTCTTGGTTATTGTGTGCTAACTTCATCGTTCTGCGGTCAAGAGATTGATGCCATTTTTTGAGACACATTATAGGCCCATCTGTGATTAAGTTTTATAATTAGGAAATGCTGTTACATCATGTTCAATCTGTTTCATCAAGTGGCCTGCTTGGACTGTATTTGTGAGAACTCTGGTTGTGGCACTGTCCATTTCTCCTTAGAGTTCTGTTTCTTTCTTTTTTCTTTTTGGCTAAGTGATAGCACATATAGAGAGCTTTTTCTTGAATTATACCTCTTTTCACTATGTTATACCTCATTTTACTATATGAGCCTTTTGCTTTAATCCATTCTGTGTGATGTTAATATATTTAAACCAGTTTTCTTTTTTTTTTTAGTATTTGCCTTATATCTTTTTATTTATATTCTTACTATAGCCTCATGTTTTAGATGTCTCTTGTAAATAGTGTATAGTTGGATTATTTTAATCTATTCTGAGAATATGTGTATTTTAGTTAAAGCATTTAATCTGTTAATGTCTTATGTATCAATACATCTGGACGTTAAATTTGTCCTGTCCCTTTCTATGTTGTTTTTCTTTCCTGTACCTTCTTTTGATTTTAGTATTTTTCTCATTTTACTTTTTTCTCCGCATATTTTGAATTTATTTACTCTATTATTTTAGTGGTTTTCTGGACAATTTTTATCCGTACTTGTTCATTAAGTTTAGATTCTGATAAATGTTATTACTCTACTGATTTACACGGTTTTCTTATCATGCATTTTAGTTCTATCTTTCTTTAAGTCTCAGAGCGGATTATTATTGTTGCATACAATTATTTTTTATTTCACTGTACACACACATTTGCCACTTTGTGTGTTTTACTTGATTCTTACACTCTTTGGTGTAATTTCTTAACTCTTTGCTTTGGTTCTTTGATTATTTCTTTCTCTGTGCAATACATTTCTTTAGAGTTTTTCTTTTCTGTGGGTGGCAAGCCCCAAAATAATGTTTTACCTTCTTTCTCAATGGACATTTTGGTGGTTGTGGGTTTCTATATTTTATTCCAGAACTATGAAGATGTTCCACTATCTTCTGGCTTTCATTGTTGCTGATGAGAAGTCAGCTGTCAAGCATTCATTTCTTTAAAGTAGTGGTTCTTCAAGTGCAGTCTACAGCCAACAGCGTCAGCATCATCTGAGAACTTGTTAGAAATGCATATTCTTGGGGGCCGGCTAGTCAAAAGTATTTTTGTTTGGGGGCTGGCCCGGTGGCGCACTGCTACAGTGCGCCGCTTGGGAGTGCGGCGGCGCTCCCGCCGAGGGTTCGGATCCCACATACAGACCGGTTCCCGCTCACTGGCTGAGCGAGGTGCGGGCGCAACACCGAGGGTTGCGATCCTGTTGCCGGTCCCGGTCCGGTACGGGGGCGACACTGAGGGTTGCAATCCGATGCCGGACACGGAAAAAGACAAAAAAAAAAAAAAAAGGAAAAGGAGAAATGCATATTCTTGGACCATACACCCCAGATCTTCTGAATAGAAACTCTGGGGATGGAGCCTAGCATTGTCAGGGTTTTGTATGCTTGTTTTTTAGTTAGAGAGTTATTTACAGTGTTTAACAAGACCTCCAAGTGACTGTGATGCAGCTTAAAATTTGAGAACTGTTGCTTTAAAAGGTTAACTTAGTTCTTTTTCTGTCTCCTGTTAAGATATTCTTTTTACCATTGGTGTTCTCTGGTTCACTGTTGTTATTTCTAAGATTTCTTTTTAATTCTTTTCAACCTGTTTATATTTTCCTTCTGAAATGGAAATTCTGCAGGCTCTGTATTTTGCTATAATTGCCTGTGTTCTTTCTTTCTCTCTTGGAACTCTGATTAGAAATGGTTCTGTTCTTTTTCCTCTGCTTCTCCCATGGCTCTTAGCCACCTTCATACTTTTCATCTCTTTTTCTGTGCTGCCCTGATGTTTATTTTTTAGAAATGGTTTTTAAACTTCCACCTGTATAAGTCCCGCTGTAGAGCTTGTTAAAACACTAATTCATCAGCCCACCCCAGAGAGTCATACTTAATTGAATTGGGATGTGATCTGGGTATCATAATTATTAAACACATGCCAGATGGTGTTTATGCAGCTGGCCTGCAGACCACACTTTGGGTCATGCTTGGGAAACAAATTCAGTGTTTCTTTTGGTTTATGTTATCTAAATCTAATCACTTAGTTTTGTTGTTATTGTTGTTATCCAGTTTGCTTTTATTTCAACAAATAATTGCCCTTTTAGAAATAACATTTTTAATTTTCTGAATGTTTATTGTCAGTCATGAATGACTTAAAAGATACAATTGATCTATAGTTTGCATTGTACTTAAAATAGTTTTGACTGGAAGGTTTAATCAAGATACCTAGGTTGCTGTTGGAAACAGAAGTCTAACCCTGCCCTTCTAACCTCTGGGACATTTCTTGTAGTTGGTTGAAACCTTAAAGATCATGGAGGGTACATAGAAATATGGATTTACTAATGTAACACAATTCTGGACTTAGAAAATGGCATACAATGTTCTCACAGCCTTTGTTGCTTTTTCTCTGTTTACATGACTAACACTGGTAGAAATAGTTCTATGAAGGGCAGACATCAGTAAAGATAACAAGAGAGTCATTCTGTCTGTAGGGTTCTCACCTGAAAATTCTGAATATCCTAGGACAGTGTTACAAAGTTGAAAGTGGAAATAAAATTGAATATTGGAAGAATTACGGCTACAAAAGAGGATTCACAGTAGAACAATTTTAAAGAGCAAAATTTGTTTTGGACCAAAAACTTATGGAGGAGGCAGATCTTCACCATAGTGAGGAGCAGGACTGGGTCCAGCATGAGGTATGCAAGGCATCTAGGGTGCAGATTGAAGGCATTGCTCATGCTTGGGGCCAGCCCTGCGCTGGTGGGACACTGAAAGGGCCTTGTCACATTTTGCACTCCAGCAATGTGGCTGTCTCACCCTAGTCCTAGTCCTGGCCCTGGTGAAGAGAAAAACAGGTCCCAATGAGAACAGAGTAAGATTTGTGCAAATAGTTTTCTATGTTATAAAGAAAATTAAAAGAGAAATTAAAAAAACCTCAATAGCTCTGAAAAATTAATATATCTTAATTTGCCCATGGTGATAGGATTCTGTTTATCCTGGTTTTGTTGTGCCATGTAGAAACGTGGCAAAGCTGCTCTGAGTTGATAGATCCGCCAACTGTTCCTGGACTCCCCTGCTCCACAGCCAGCCAGTGTCACTTAGACGTCGAAGTCTTCCTGCTGCGTCTGTATTCAGGGCCACCAGTTCTTTGAGACCCTTATCCAGCACTGACAACCTCTGAAAGTGGTATAATTATCCAGGTGAGAAATTATGCAGCAGAGATGCTCTGCTCTGGCATCTGGTTTCCATTACTACAAAATGCTGAAAATGTCCAACAGACCTGAATTTGAGGGGGTGCGATCTTTAACGGTCTAACTGTCCGGTTACTTTGCCCCACATAGGGAGTGGCAGTGGATGATGGGGCCCAGGTGCTGGGCTAAGCCTTATGGCTTTGTCCTAGCACCTGGGTTACCGTTAATTTCACAGGACTTATGAGAAGATTCCAGACTTCCCAAATTCATAGGCCCCCTCCTTTGCAATCCTTCCAAAACCCCAGCCCCAGGGTGCTGTCTCAGTATGAAGGCGAATGTGGGTTATTTTGTTCATCATTCATTCATTCTTTCATTCACTTTTTATTTCCTGTTATAGGAGGCACTGCTTCAGCTCTAAAACAGTGAATGAAACATCAGAGAATTAAAATTCCCTACCCCTGAAGCTAATTGTCTAGTTGGGCAATGTCTTATTTCTTCTAGGAAGCAATCTAAACAGGTAATCTATGCAGTGTGTGTGGGAGAGACAGTAACACTTACCGGCTGTTCTACGTGCTGTCCTACATTTCCCAGCATCCTTGAAGCTAGCAGGGGCATGTGACTAGCTCTTGCCAATGAGCTGTGAGCGCTTGAGGCCACAGCACAGAAGACAAAGTGCACAATTTGGCAGGCACACCCTTCCTGCTCATCATCCATGACCAAAATGGCCAAGGGTGTCCAAAGACAATGGTTGGTTCAGGGATAAGTGGCATGCCCCTGAGCAGCTGGGAAACTTCTGACAGCAGCCCAGGTTGAACAAGTAATATGTGCAGGACAGAAACTTCCATTTTACTGAGTCATTGAGATTTGGGATTGTCTGTTTTTGCAGTAAAGTATAGCCTAACCTGACTTACATAGAATATTAAGTGGAAATGAATGCTTTAGGAAAATTAAAGTGGAGAATAGGGATCGAAAGACACTTGTATTTTAAATAGAATGGCTAGTAAATGCCGTTTCGAGACCTGAAGGAGGAAAGGGAGCTGAGCACACTGAGAATGAGGGAAGAACGTTCCAAGCAGAGAGAACGGCAAGTTCAAAGACCCTGAGGTGGGAGCATGTCTGGCATGGAGAGGAGGCCCTGCGAAGAGGGGTGGGTGAGCAACAGGAGGGAGTCATGGATGAGGTGGCAGGGACTCGGGCCCTTGGTCTGAGTGTGGTGGGACACCATCAGAAGATTTTGAGCAAAGGAGTGGTCTGACCTACGTCTTACCAGCAAATTTACGGCTGCCATGCAAACTAAAGGGAGACAAGGACAGAAGCTAAAAGACTGGTTAGGAAGCTACTGGAATGGTCTAGAAGAGAGATGATATCTTGTGCCAAGGCAGTACCGATGTAGATGGTTAAGAGTGGCCACATTTTGGGTAAGTTTTGAAGATAAAGCTAACAGAGTTTGCTTGTGACTTGGATGTAAAATATGAGAAATAAAGAGGAGAGTCAAGATGACCACAGGCTTTTGACTTGAGCCCGTGTAAGGCTGGATTTGCCCTTGGCATGAGGAGGCTGGTAGTAGCTCCGTTTTATTTACTATTTATTTATTTTTGTTTGGTCTTGCAGCAAGCCGGTTCAGGGATCCGAGCCCTTGACCTTGGTGTTATCAGCACCAGGCTCTAACCAAGTGAGCTAACTGGCCAGCCCTAGTTTTAGACATTTAGTTTGAGATCCTGTTAGACATCACCATGGAGATATTAAGTTGGCACGTGGCTCCTCGGTGCTCTGGACCATGCTGGGTGGGACAGTCACCGACTAGAAACGAACAGTTCTGTGAAGTCAGTAGTCGTTTTATTTTAATGATAATGGTGTTTTAGAATGAATGTTTATTGAGCACATTATTGAGTTCCATAACCCAGTGTTAGAATCTCCAATTTCCAGATGAGAAAATTGAGGTTTAGTGAATGTGCTCTCGGGAGGGGACCCTGATAGGCAGTACTCTGGGCTTGCAGCAACGTGGGGTCCCCTGAGGTCTCAGGGACAAGTAGGCAACAGCCTTCACGATGTGTAATCAGAATCTGGGTGTCAGCACCCAAAGGGTGGGGTGACTTGAGAGCGTGGACCTGTGGGGCTGGGGGTGAAGAAGGCCGAGGAGAAACATGACCATTAAGTGTCAGGCAGAAGAGGAAGGATCTCAAGCCAGAGTCTTACAAAGAGCAACCAGAGATATAGGAGGACAACCTGGGATGTGTAGCCATGGCAGCCAAGAGCAGAGGTGTTCTAGGAAGAGGGAGAGAGGTATAGTGAGCAGGGTTGTATGTTGATTGGGAGGGTCAAGCAAGGTAAGGATAAAGATTTGGTGTCAAGGAGTTCACATACTGGGGACAATGTAGGTGTCATAGGTCACACTGAGAGGGTGACAACATGTAGCTCTGGAGTCAGATTGAGGGGGTTTACAGCTTCCATCTATAACCTTGGCCCAATGACCTAACCCCTTGGCATCTTGCTTTTTCTCTGGATGCTGCTTACCTCCTGGGGAGGCTGTGAGGATTAAATGAGTGTTTCTGTAAAGACTCGGGAAAAAGCCTGGTACACAGGAGACCCCACATGTGTTGTTGTTTGCAGTATTGGTGTTAACGTTGGCAAGGAAAGTTGTGATCAGCAGAAGCTTATTAGGTGAACATTGATGAATGAGTGTGAGGTGAGGGTGGGGACGTTGTGCCTCAGTGACTGAGCCTCTGTCAACTTGTCTAGCCTCTCCTCAGTAATAGTCTGATGTTTGAACCCAAAGGCAAAATGACTAGTAAATAAGAATCACTCCTACTGGAGAAGAAGGGTAGGAATTGTCCCAAGGACTGTCAGACAGAGAAGGCTTGTTATACCTCATTATATCCAAAAGGTGGCAGCACGTGACCTCAGCTGGGCACACAGGTACACTGGTGTCTAGAAATCAATGGGCGGTAGTTAACGTTTGTGTCTCTCCTCACGCTGCATAAGGGAAAAGGGAGGGAACTCACATTTGCTGGGAATCTACTGTATTGGCTGGGCAGCAATGGTACTGTGATCTGATTCTCTTTCACCCTCTCTGTTCTCGCTCAGATGATGCCGATCAAGTAAACCCCAACTCCTGCTGCCCCAGAGGAAGAACAACCCAGGCTTTGCAGTTAAAGAAGTCAGAGTGCAGCTGCCACCCTGCCATTTGCTATGTTACTTTCTGGCAAGTCACCCACGCTCACTGAGTCTGTTTTCACATGCCTAATGGTGCTGATAATGCTCCTCCGATTGATTTGCTGTGGGATTTAGGGAGACCCAACACCAGATCATATTTAGCATTCAGTGCTGTTTGCCCTCTGTGGAACTGACAGAGAGGAATTCAGTTACTAGCATTGCTGTGACTTCACCCGTAGTTTCCTAAGTTGTCCTCCAGAGTGTTTTTAATTTAACTAATTTACTTGCCTTCTTTTTTTTTTGCATTTTTAAATTTGATTTTACATATTTCTGGGAAAATAGGTAGGGCTGGTATTTGGTAACTAATAGTTAACTAAATCCCATGGAATTTAAACAGCTGGCCCCTTATTTTCAAGTTAATAAGCTACAAAATTTTGTTATGTTTCTGAACATGTATTTTGTGTCCCTATTCTAGTTTTCAGTTAGAAAAAAAAAATAATTTATCAACTTGGCAAACAAGGTGGTTTTCTCCAATGTGTAAGACATATGTGCACAGCTAAAGGGGCTACAAATAAAGCAGCTTTGGAGGACAATCTGGCAACCCTTAATAAAAGGCTTAAACATGTTTATAAATGCTGACCAAGCATTTCACCATCTCAAAATTCATTCGAAGGAAAATACTTGAAGAAAACGACAAAAATTTAGCTGCAGGGGTTTCTTCCAAGTGTAGTTTTTCTACTTGTGAAAAATTGGAAATATTCTAAATATTTTAACATAGGATCAATTCAGTAAATAGATATACCTATTTAGTAGAATAGTATATAAACACAAAATGATAAAACATTAATGATGTATTATTTTGCAAATAGTATAGCTGGGTCTAAATTGCATCTATAAAGAAATATGCAAGAATATCAAACATTTTTGACAAAGCCAATGATGATGAGATACATTTCCTGGTTACCAAAAGATATTAAAATAATGTGGTATGGACTATGGACCAGACAGCATTTCAGACTCATATATGGATGTGGGTGGTTTGGTCTATGTAGGGGGTTGTAGGAATTTGGGACTGATCTAGGAAAAAGATTACTCTGGGGTGGCAGCAGCACACACAAGCTTCCTTGGGCAGCGCTTTGACAGGTTAGCATATGAGGGATGTCCCTCACAGCAGGTTTCTGTCCAACGGCTAGGACATGGGAGCAGGGGAGTGTTTCACCTACTCAGAAGGGGAGGAGGGCAAGGGAACTCCTGGGGAATCAGAGGAGACTTCCTTGTCTAGGTGATGTCACTGAGCAGCATGGCTGGTGGTCTCTGGTACAGAAAAATACAAAGGGCTAGCTGTCCGGTGAGGTTTCCTGGGATATGCAAAGCAGGTGGGCTCTAAATGGCTAAAAATTTGCTTGTTTGAGTTATTTTTATTTTTATTGAAACATAATTGATTGTACATATCTGTGGGGTACAACGTTGAATGTTAATATCTGTGTGCAGTATGTGATGGTCAAATCAGGATAATTAGTGTATTCAACATTACACAGTGTAGTCATTTTTGTGGCCCTTTACCAATTTCTCATTAGTACCCCCCACCCCACTCCCCATCCTCTGGTAACCTCAGTTCTGTTCTCTCCTTTTGAAAGTTCAATGGATTATTGTGATTGTTGTATCTTTCTTTTTTTCGATGTATAAAAATTGGAGTTTGGCACCCGTGGGCTTTTGACTTCATGGATCTCTGCCTACATTGAAGATATAAATGACTCAGTTCCATACACAGTCATCTTTGGTTCATGCTTACAACAGTCTATTATGGAGGGGTCATTTTAAATTAGGGATGATGCAGACATCTTCAATAAAAGATGTTGGGAGAGTACTTTTTAAGCACAATGATCCAAATGGATAAGGAACTAAATATGAAACGATAAAAATATTGGGAGAAAACACCTCATTGAGTAAAGAAAAGCCTCTTTAAGAAAAATAAGGTGCTGGAAGCAAATCATGCCACTGTGGTTCATCAGTGATCTTTCATTTTTGTCTGAGGCACCAAGTATTGATGCATCCACACTCTTGCCACCCGTCTTTTTTTTCTTTTCTATCTTTTATCTACTAAGCAGTTCATCCAGTTGTTTTTCCAGGTAGATTGAACCAAACCACAGCGTGATGACCTACCATGAGAATAATGAACAAGAGTAATGCCAGCTCAGCACTGCTCATTTTTCTCACCTGCCTGTAGTAGAATACAGGCTGTCACCAATCTGGAAGTCCGTTGATCAGAGTATCATCATACCTCTGCCTTCACCATCTCTTAAAACTTCATAAATGGCCACCAGTTGTCTAAACTGAGTTTCTGCATTTTCATC